TACTTTCTCGGTCCCTGAGAGGGCCAATTTTTGACACCCATCACGAGGATCGTGGCCCCCGAGGGGGGGGGGGGAAATCGAGGACGCCTCCTCTTTTGACCGACCGCCTCCAAGATGGCCCCGGGGCTCCCAAGAGGGCCCCAAAAGCGCCCCAAGAGCGCACCAAGAAACCCGAAGAACGCCCCAAAAAGCCCCAAGAGGCCCCCATGAGGCACCCGAAAGACCCCCAAGAGCCCCCCGAGCGGCCTGGCCCGGCCTCAGAGAGCCCAAGATGACCTCCAAGAAGGCTCAGATAACCCAAGCTGGCTCAAGATGGCTTCCAAGATGCTCCAAGCGGCCCCAAGACCGCTACAAGGCGGTTCGAGATGGCCACGGAGCCTCCCAAGCCTCCCTCGCTGTTTCACTATGCGTGTCTTTTCCTCTCTCCCCCCGTCAACTCTCATGGGCATCGTTTCGGGATGGGCTGGTGGGGATATTTTTTGTTTTGGTCGCAGCCGCAAGCGAAAGCGCAGGCGGCGAGAAGGAAGTCTGGGCCAACGGGCAAGCTTAATTGGCTACAAGGCGCAGCGCAAGCCGGCCGGGACAGCCCTCAGAGGCAGCAGCTGCGGCAGCGGCGGCGGGGGGCTGACTGGCTGGTGGGGATATTTTGTTTGGTCGGCGGCTCCGAGGCAACGGACAGGGAGCGGACGCGGCGTCCGGGTTACGGTACGGGGCTAATTGCAAGACAATGCGCCGCCTGCCGGAGTGGGCAGACAGACTCGCAGTTGCACGTGCACAGAACAAAATCTACTAAATTCGCAAGGCAAACGCACTTAGGCCTTAGGCGCAGCAGCCCAAACCACAGTGGGCAGGCCGCCGTGCTCGTTGAACGTACGGATGCTCCGAAGTGAGTAGCCAGGGAGCCAGACTCCGTGGCCGACCTGCACAAGCCGAACGGCTGAGCGGCCGGGACCAGAAACAGTGCGCGACAGAGGGAAAACCAAAGGCTGCACAGGCGTTGTAGGCTGAACCACTCAGCGCCCAGTCCTCAGTAATCCGCCTCCCAGTGCCGAGGGGAGGGCCACGCGACTGTGCCCAAGGCGCAACTGCGCGGTGCCGCCTCCTGAAGCGAAAGAGTCCGCTGGCGCGGGGAGCACCGCCGTCGAGTGGTGATGGTCGGCACACTGGTGGTGGTGACGTCTGCGCTGCCTGCCAGGGGGGTCCTGCTGCTGTGAAGCTGAGGTGGCCAGCCAACCCAGACTGTCGCATGGCGCTGCCCCTGAGCCCTGGCGCCGACACGCACCACGTGTCCCCCCAGAGCCGTGGAAACTGTCGCTGGGGCGGCCGAGTAGGACCACGAGCAGCGCGTACCACGGCTCGAACAGGGAGGGGGGGGCCACAGCCCAAACGCAAGTGCCGCGCCGGGCGAGCCCCGGAGCCACGGGTGCGAGACACCCACCGAGCCATGGTGGGGATACGCGAAGCGTCAAGATTGATGTATCGATCCCAAGATTGAGATGTTCGTCGAATGCATGAGACATGCGTTGAATATTCGGGGATCTACGAACATTCTACGTATAATTCGACGAGACAATCAAGTTTGGGGTAGGCAGTCACTCCCCTACTCAACGTCTGCTACTCCGAGGGCACCCGCGACTCGCCTCACTCCCCCCAGGCCTGGCTTCTCGCAAGTGCCGCTTCTCAGTCGGCCCCGTGCCCCTTACTTGCCGAGACCGCGGGAAGAATCCGCCGACCCCTTGGGAGTCATCGGCGCGTGAGGTGCTCCCCCCTCCCCCGACCCTCCCCTGGGAGCCTGGCCCGGTCGAGTTGGAGAGGGGGGCCCCCCCGTGAAGAAGGGTGGAACGCGCCACCGGGTGGAGGGCGGCGCCTCCGGCGCCGCCTCCGGCGCCGCCTCTGGCGCGCTCCGCGCGCCAGGGAGGGGGGTCCAGCGCAGGTCCAAGAAATCCGCGCGGAGCGCCAAAGGTGTATGTTTAGGGGTCTTCTTCGATGAGAACCCACAAACGAAACACGAGATCGGACGAATTGCGACGCCAGACGAGGCCTCGGGGGCCACTCGAGGGTCCGCTCTGCACCGGCCCCCCCGACCCTTTTCCCTGGGGTCCCTCCTGGCCCGCTCTCCGAGGCGTGCCCGGCCGTGGCCGCAGGGGCTCCGGGCATGGCCAGAGGGGGGACACCAAAGCGAGGGCACGCGAATCCGCCCACGCAGCCTCCTCCTCCCCCTCCTCCTCCTCCTCCCCCTCCTCCTCCTCCTCCTCCTCCTCCTCCTCCTCCTCCTCCTCCTCCTCCTCTCCTCCTCCTCCCCTCCTCCTCTCCTCCCCCCAGGCGGCTTTGGGAGCTTTGGGAGGAGAAACATCCGCTCCCTACAGGCGGCTTTGGGAGGAGAAAAATAAGACATGGTCAGAGAGGATTCAGACAAGAAGTCCTTAAAAGCATAGTCGAATCATCGCCCCAAGATGATTTGTTTGACGATTTTCTCCAAATAGGCTTGCCCCACAAGAGTTCTAACTCAAACCCTACTAATTGGTCCATTGCCCCCCCTCCCTCCTAATTCCTATGCCCCCCCCTGAATTCCTATGGCCCCTGACGCAGCTGCTGGCCGCACGGTCCAGTACAGTGGACTGGAGCGTGCGCGTGTGGAAAACAGGATCGTCCTCATCGTCATCATCATCATCGTCACCATCATCGTCATCATCACCATCATCACCCACCATCTATTTGGAGTCCACGCACGCTGATATTGGACCACTCCTCCTGTAGAGGCACGTGCCCGACTTACAAACGTAGCAGGTGTGCACGAGAAACCCCACCCTGAGACCCCAGGTCGTCCATTGACTCGTGGTTGTGGGAGCATCACGCTGTCCATCGCAAAACCATCGAGACCCAAGAGACCCAGGGCACCCTGGAGGCAAGCAGGGTGTATCTTGGCATGGGTCTCCACTGTATCTGGGCACCCCTGGAGCGCTCTTGGCGAGGCGCAGCTGCTGGAGAGCAACCCGAGGCTGGAGGACCGCCGAGAACCGACGAGAATGTCCGAAGACCTCGAGCCTGGATCTCGATGTCCCCCCTGTCGACCACCCAGCGAGGCAGGGAGGCCCCCTGGCTCGCGCTGGCCCAAGACGAAACCTGGACCAGAACAAAATCGGGCAGGGACAGCTCGGGTCTCTCTGAGGTCTGGCGGCTCTGGAAAATGTATCGGGCGCCGCGGCCTCCTCAGAGCCTTCCGGAATGCTCTGAGAGCCTTCCGAACGCTATGGAACGATGCGACCCCTGTCCTAGCCCCGTCCAGTGGTCCTTCATGGCGGTGGTCTTCCCCGTGCCGGCCACGCCCACCTGCGGCTCCAGAGCGGACGCGGGCGGAGGCACGCCTTCGACTGCACATGCACAGGCCGGCCACGCCTCGCCGCGATAACGATCCTCAAGAACAACAC